TTTAAGCACCGGCACCGTTTCAAAAGTACCGGTTTGGCACCGGTATCGGATAAAACCTAAACGATACCCATCCCTAATCTCGAAGCACTAGAAATACCCATTGATTCTAAGGATTTTTCAGCATGCGTGCTTACTTCTCTCTGTCTATACACTTCACTACTTTTCCAAATGCTCCTTCTCCCAGTGCAGAGACAACTTCATCTGGGAAGGACAGACAGATATTTATTTGGATCACCAGTGCAGTCCAGAGCAGAGCACTTTTAAAACACTCTAAAACACACTTCCTGCAGCTTCTGACTTGTCACAAACACATTTGAAAAGTCAACTAGTCGCTTTCCTTTCATTCTTCTTCCACAGCCAGACGATTGTGTGATGCTTCCAAATTATGGCATGAGGTTTAGTTCAAGTTTAATCACAAACCATTTGGTTAATTTTCAGTAATGCATTCCAGCAAATTAAAAAGTGAAAGGTTAAGCATCCTGGACTAAGTGCCTGAGAGTACATTTATTGTACAAAAGAGGAATTTAATTAAATAATAAGCCAGTTCCTCTGTAGCAGTGAAAGTAGTCAGGTGATCACGGTAACAGAAAACTATTTCTAGAGTTGCTATTCTGGTGTCAGTTGCCCTTTTAGAAGAAAAGCATAAGGGGAAAGGGGGGAAATGTGATGAGTACATCTTTCTTTCATCACGAGGCCGATGTGATAGGTCAGGTGGCCCTCTTCATCATCCTCACAGCTCTTTCCCCTCTGACCCTCCTGCACTTCATCATCATTGGCGCTGCCAGCGTTGTCATCAGCCTGAGCGTTGGTTGTGTTTGAGTCAGATTTATGGATAAGAAGCGAAAGAGAAAAACAGAGTGTCAATTTGAAAAATTTCCATTTTTTTCATAGAATTTAATTCCAATAATGGGATAGTTTGAAATCATAAAAGACTCAGTTCTGTCCTTTTTTATATATTAAGATAAAATCATAGAAGTGTTGAGAAGCCATTAGATTATATAAGAAATGTTTAGCAAGCTAAAGTTTTCCAAACAGCAATTTAATTGCATCTGGGATGTGTTCCCATCCAAAATAAGACGAAAGTTCAACTACAAAAATATATTTTATATAGAGATCCTATTTCATCGACTGAATCACAGTGGATTATTTGGGGTAATCATATTACATAAGACCCTGCTGCTGCCATATTAGATGATGCTCCTAGTTTAATCGGTTACTCATTCACACCTGTTATTTTTCATCTGAATTAGCAACAAATAATATAATGTAATGCACTGTATATAATGTAATTAATTAATTAATGTTAATGTACTTAACAATAAGGAAAAAAAGCCTCAGGCAAACTTAGGGGGACTCAGCAGAAAGAAGGTTATCCTACCAAGTTATGAGTTTCTGAGGTTGTGCGGTGGATGCACTGGTTGAAACTTCCAGTCTTTGTATCCGTTTGTAAATCAGGTTTGGAGTCATCGCCATCTACCAAAGGACAGACGGAGAAAGACTTCAAAACAGTTCCAGGAAACACCGACAATAATTAACCTGTATGAGGCCAAAACCTAAGAGGAAATAATGTTACCTCTCCAGTACTCGGAGTTGTCGTCCTTTCTGCCCATTGTACTGTTGTCAACACTCGACCTGACTCAGGCCTCTTCTCCACACTCTGGTAGTGTCTGCAAAGGTAAGAAGGAGAACGTATTTTCAAAAAAGGCTTTGTGAAAGCTTTAAAAAGCAAAAAGGACATTTCACATTTAGCTTCACAGACTAAGGAGTGAATCGCCACACTTTAGCATTAAACTTTACACACACGATTGAGGCAGCGTTATCGTACTAGAATTTAGGAATGACAGGTGCCAAACAAACAAACCGGTACAAACATTATCGATACAAATATATAAATTCTTTACTGGCACATTATAAGCATTTTAAGCTTAGGATCTTTTACTCTTACATGAGGCCAGTACAAATTCCCACAAGGCAGCACGAATGTAATCTTGCACTCATGCAATATATATGTTATTTATGCATATCTATATTCATGATTTTATGAACTGTTTTTATGTATTTAAATGGCCAACGGCAGCAGTAGAAACTTGAGTGATGAAGCTTTTATTAAAAAAAGAAAAATCTCTGGTACTTTGAATAGACTACTTTGTTCATGAAACTGGATTAACCTTTATATCACCAAAGTAGCGAACAACATTAAAAATGCTTTTCATGAGTAGAATATAACACAGACAACATGCTTTTCTGTGCTGGTAAACATAAAGTGCTTCTAAAAATAGTCAAGAGCATTAAAATTTACTGTTGCTACACCTGAAT